GCTTAAATCTTTAAAAAAGGTGACATCTTTTGACCTTGATTTTTGCCAGGAAGTTAAAGCGTTACTATTTTTAACTGTTTTAAAGAGACTGTTACTAAATCTAGTTATACTTGAGAAAAGAATGAGGATGATGCAAGATTTTTCAGGTATGTTCTAGCTCTAGGCAATGTTTCTTTTAACTCATCCTAGACTTTCTTAAAAGGAAAAAGCCACCTCTACTCTTCATGCTGCCTCCCTATCCTCCCTTTTTTGTTCAATGTGATAATCTCTCTTGGTCAATTTCTATCTTCTTTTACCTTTCTAACAATCAAGAAGAGTCTCAAATTACTTGACCCTTTGCTTTGATTGCCTGCCCCTAATGTAGTTTCCCTTCTTACTCTCACCAATGTGAAGCAAGTTAAGATCAACACATAAACAGTTTTTTGCTCTGTGGATTTATTGTCCTATTTGAGCAGTAAGTAAGGTTGAAATTATCAGTAGTAGGGTAGCAGCATTACATAGGATTATTAGCATTTTCCAAGTGTGCAAATTTTCAGTGAAGTAGGCTTTAATAAGTAATAAAGTATTATGTGCATATATTGGGTTAGGATAGTATATTTCCTGGAAAGCTTCCCGTGGGGGGGAAATTAAATAAATAATACATTTTTGTTAAATCTTATTTTTGCTTTTTAACTTTTTCTTAATAAAAGTAAAACATTGATATCAAGAAATTTGGAAGAAACAGTAAAGTTCTCCTTTAGAAGGAGAAATATATGTACAAGATGCTATGTTGAAAAATGAACTTTACAATTTAGACGGGGTGGGGGGGAGTGTAGTTGTAGAGACGGGAGGGAAAAGATGGCAGGGGAAAAACAAAGGAGGAGGCAACAATGCTTGGTAAGAAATGTACTCATTACCTTGCTCATGTAACTGTAATCCCTCTGTACAGTATTTTCACAATAAAAAAAAAAGAAGAAAAATATAGCAAACTATATATTTTAAGCTATAGATCCACAAGCAACTGCCAGTTGAACTATTTTTGCAGGAACTTTCTCAGGCTGTCCCCAATTGAATAGTCCCATTTGAGTGCTAAAACTTATTTTCTACACAGTCACCCAAGATACAAAACTGGCGTTTTCCCAGACTCTTCTCAGTTATATCTGTCAATTTTTTCTTAATTTATTCTTTAATCAACAAATATTCATAGAGTGTCTTCATTCATGGAGTGATGGTGTTTGTCTTGTGTGCTATCCTATTTTTTTCAAGTGCTACCACCATGTTGCTGCTTAAATGTTTCTGATGTACATTGATCTTTCTGTGTATTCATGGAAACTGCTCTAAGAGTAAAATTTACATTCAGTTTGATCACAAATATCTTCATGCTAGAACATTTGCCAACCTTATCTCATTGCTGTCCCATCCCTGGCATCTTAAATCTCAAACAGCTTGCAGTTCCTTTGTGTATCATTTATTCCTTGCCTCCTTTTTGGAGAAATCCTTCCATTTCCTCCTTGTATTTCTTTTTTTTGGGGGGAAGGGGCTGGTCGCGGGGTTCTGGGCCTGGGCGCTGTCCTTCAGCTTTTCAGATCAAGGCTAGTACTCTACCACTTGAGTCACAGCACCACTTCCCAGTTTTTCTGCTTATGTGGTACTGAGGAATCCAACCCAGGGCCTCATGCATGCAAGGCAAGCACTTTACCACTGAGCCACCTTCCCAGCCCCTCCTCTATGTATTTTAATAATAGTAACAGTGTTTATTTGTCTTAGCTCAAATGTAGGGAAAAAAAAAAACACAAAAAACCCTCTTTATCTTATACTGAATTATGTGCTGCCTCAAGTTTCCTATAGCCTTCAATGCTATCACCATCATAACATTTACCATGTACTTGATATTGCTATTTGTCTATCTGTGCTACTAAATTATAAAGCCATAAGTGCAGTTCCTACCTCAAGCATGTAATAGGTAAATAATTATTAAATAATTGTATGCCTTTGAAAGTTACTTTTTATGATGTGAATTAATTGTAAGGAACATTGATAAAGATGACCAATGTAATTTTTCATTCTGTTAATATGAGTTAAGCTGTAGAAGCTAAGGATAAATCTATGAGAACAGGAAGGATACTTTGGCATTTAATGAAAAAAATATAACAATTACTTTGGATTGTTAATGAGGAAATCATCAGAAAAAATATGATTATAGAGGAAATATTGAAAACATTCAGAAATATTATGATGTAAATGGTTTAGTCTTGTAAACATTCATTTTAGTATTATCTGAACAAATGTTCATATTGTACCTAAAACTCAGTGGAACAATATTAGTATTTTAAAAGTAAGGATTATTATTTCTAACAATGATTACTATATAAGATTTTTAACAAGTAAGTTCTGTTCTAAGTGATATTATATGTTTGAAAATAAAATTATTAAGATGTCTTAACTATTCAACAGATATGAAATCTTTGAGCAGTTAAAATATTTTTTCAGCCTTGTAATTGCACATCTAGGAATATAGGTCAAATAAGTGATATTAATTATATAATCAAATGTATATATTAATAATACACAAGAGGTATGCTATTTCTGGGAACTAATAATATATTCAGTCTTCCTACTACTTAGTACATTAGTTACGATTAATGAATATTACTTTTTAAAGTTCTTATTTTCAAAGTTAAAAATGAGTCATTTGCAAATTAAAAATACAACTAGTAATGCATGAAAAAAATCACTCATAACATTACTGATCACTTAATAGCTGATCCTCCATTTTTATTTTTCAAAAACTTATTTTTTAAAAAAATTACAGTGTTACTACAATGGGTAATGGGAAGTAAATGGTATAATATATTAATGAATTCTACCTACTGAAATATTTGATACATTGGCTTGAGTGAGAGTGAAGTTTAAAATTATTGGCAGAATAAAATGGAAGAAGGTACTTTTTAGTCAGAATAGAAGCAGGACTAAGTCTTAGCCCTATTTGCTGCTATTCAGGTAGGATTGAAGAGTTCAGTTCAGGTTGTGTTTACTTGTTTTCCTTGGTTTACTTTGACTAATTCAGGCAATTCACTCATGCAAAATAGATTTTCTCATGTGGACAAGAGAAATTAATATGTTTATTGACTTTTCCAGTGTATTTTGCTTAAACATATTTCTAATAGTCAACTATTTTAACAGTCATTTAAGTCTATCTTAAGTTCATTTGTGTTTTTTTTATAGGTTGTAAATTTTCTGAGGACAATTCTTTGTCTGTTTTTATTTTCATCTTTTTGAAAAGAAAATGGAAGACTTGGCAATAGTAGTAAATAAATATTTGTTCAGCACATGAATGCATGAAGGAAACCATAATACAAATGTGTAAATGTATAATCTCTAATTTTGTTCAAATAAAACTTAGCATGAACATAAATTTGTAGTTTTGAGAAACAATAGTATTAATTTCGGATTTATGAATGTCTTCTATTTCTAACCATTTTCTTTCTCTCCCACTGAGTAGTCTGGATTTATTTGATTTATCATCATATCTAAAATATTCCCTGGTTGACTTTAGAAACATCAATTACTAACTAGAATATCCTAGTTGAGACTTGGTATCTTGTGTAATTTTTATCCATTGAATGATAATTTCACATATGCAAAGTCATCTAAAATGTAACTAATTTGTTTATTGTTATGTGCAAAGTGAATTCTATGTTCATTTTTTTCTTTTCATCCTTGTCTTTTTTGTTCTGACTGCAGTTGGCTATATTATAAGATTCTTAAAATGAATACTGAAAAATTGACTTAAAAAACAGATTCTATATAAAATAGAAGTAGAAAATAACCTGTTTACTTTTAGTATTGATTTTTAAAATTCTAGAATGTGAATTCTTATTATGTAACTGATTCATGTAGATATATTCTTAAAACAATTAGTTTAAATTTAGAGTATAAAATAAAAAATGAATGGTGAATATCAAATGATGCTTATTTCACTTGAAGGTTTGTGTTTAAAACACAGTTTATTTTTACATATGGCAAAATGTAATTGTTGAAAGCCAGTGTCGTTACGTGTTTATTAACATAGTTATTATGTTACTAACAAATGTTAAGAAAATACTTTCTATCTTAAAATGAGTACAATATAATATTTACTTAATTACATCTGTTAAAGTTCATCAAAAATAACATCCCTGAATATTGTCTTAACTAACCAAACATCTTCTCTGTCTTTTTTAATAACAGCATGCTTCTGCTGCTCTTTAATTAAATGACCTTACCTTACATTTGTCTTGACTGGCTTCTGTTTACAGAAATTGTAAACCAGTTGAATGCTCTGAGCAGCTTAGATGAAGATCAAGATGACTGCATAAAACAAGCAAATATGCCTTCAGCTAAATCAGCCAGTTCCTCTGAAGGTCTAAGAGCTTTCCTCCTTTCTATCTGCTTCTGATTGCCTGTATTTACTGTGACCTGCTACATCTTGACTTCTGTCTGTACTTAGCTGTCAGTTTTGTCTTTGTGTTCTTTGTACAGTGTTTTCTTTGGTAATTTGTAGTCCACCAACAGGCAATAAGATAACAGAATTTACCTTTGGCACAGTCTTGTATCAAGATCCTAAATAGTGATTTAAAAACATCTTCTGAGTTTAATACATCATAAAACATATTTCTTTAGTGATCTTATATATATTATATACATATATTGTATTGCTTCTCTATTAAGGAATGAAATATTTTTTCTAAAAACCTGTTTTGTGCTTCTAAACTTGAATCAAATACAATTCAAATGAAAATGCCTTTAATATAGTTAATTGTCTCATATAATTTTCAAACTAGAGTACATGTACTTTTATTAATTTGACATGTTGGTATACTACAAAATACTTGAATGGCATTCTGCTATTGATAAAATAGTGTATCTCATCATTTGCAGGTATTATTAATGTGAATTTCTAAAGTTTGAAATGTTTCGTGAATGATTAATAGTTATACTTCACCTTAACTATAGTGGACTTTATGCATGCTTATTTTCAGAACTTATCAATAAACTTAACTTTTTGGATGAAGCAGAAAAAGACTCGGTCACTGTGAATTCAAATCCATTTGATGAACCTGATGTAGAAGAATTAAATCCATTTGGAGATCCTGACTCAGAAGGTAGAAAGTTTTTTTATACTTTTACAGTGTTTGTAAGTTAAATTCTCTTGAACTACAATGTTCAGAAAAGTTTTACATCTGAATTCTGGTGGTTCATGCCTATAATTCTAGCTACTTAGGAAACAGATCTGACAGTCATGGTTCAAAGCTAAGTTGTGCGGGAAAAGTCCAGTTAACTAGTGAAAAGCTGAATGTGCAGGTATGGCTGAAGTGGTAGAGCACTAGACTTGAGCTAAAGGGGTAAGGGACAGTGCCCAGGCTCTAAGTTCGAGTCCCCATACCAGCATAAAAGAAAGGAAAAGGAAACAAAGAAATAGAAAAGAAAAGAGATTGGTTGGGGGGATGCGGGAAAGAATGATGGAAGAGGTAACTTTGATTAAGATGCACTGTACTCATAAATTGACTTGTTGAATTGAAATCTCTTTGTACAACTATTTAAAAAATTTTGCTAAGATTTACTCAAAAGCTTTCTTTTGAATACTTTCTTTACAATAATAATATTTTGTTAGGCATCATTTTCAATTGCTCATTAATTTATTTTCTACAGAGTTTTTTCAAAGAAAAAAATCTTATATAGACCTTTACCTGGTTCCTGTATTTTAGTTCTGTGTTAGTTTGGTGAAACAGACAATAAAAGTCCAGTGTTAGAGATAATAGTGTTTTTACCTAACTAGCATGTAGTAAATTCTTATTCGGCAGATGCACCACCTGAGGTCACGCTGTGGGATATACTAATATACTGATGTAGTTAGAGGTAGTTTCTGTCTTCATTTAGCTTTACTCTGATGTTTAGAGAATCTTACTATCCATCTGGTCCTATAACTATCTATATCTTTGGATTAAAATCCTAGTAGTTGTGCATGTGTTAGCATAGGGCAGAGAAAATGAAAAACTACTGCATCCTGTCGATTTATCTTTTATCATACAAAGAGTAAAAATGCATTTTTTTCTTCCCCTCGTCATTTTTTTGTCAAGTAGTTTTAAACTCTTAAAGCTTGGATAAGGACTGTTGAAGAAGTGAGACTTGTTTAATTAAACTCTGTTCAAAGTAATGCAAGAATGATTAACCGCTGTTTATATCTTTTTGACTGCTCTTATGAAATCTTCGTGAGCTTTTAGGAATTTTACTACTACTGTCTGTCATGGTGAAAATGAGATTTTAGCTTCAGGATTCACTCTGTTAGAGCAATATCATTTCATAATCCTTTCTCCATCTTTACTTTTCCCTTTACTTTTCCCATCTTACTAGACTCCAAACTAGTAAGTTTAAATTAGTGAGATTTAATTTTGTTTGTGAGCTACATATTGTGAACATGCTTTAAATCTTAATAAGGGTTACAGCAAATCTTACAGGCAGACAGTTTAACTACCTCTTCTTGTAGATTATGAAACAGACTCCAGAACAGTTAAATGATTTGAACTTAAGGTAAATACAGGTGAGGATAGAATTAAGATTCCTAAACAAGTATCTTCTTTTGACTGCACAGATTCTCTTCAATTGTAAACTGCGTGTATCTGAGTATATATTCAGAAACACATTGCCAGGATATTTTGTGATAGCAGTAGTTGAGCTTTTCATTTCCAAATGATTCGAGTAACTTTTCTAAATATATGTGGCTCTGATTTCTGAGCAAAAGGGTAATAACATATAGTATTGAGTTTCTGTTTAAATTGATTTCAGTACTGATTTATTATTATAATATTATGTTAATATAATATATATTTTATAAATTCTGTATCATACTTCATAATTGCTTTTCAGTGATGCAAAGAAGTTTAGTTCAGAGGATTTTCAGTATAAAGACAATTTTTTTGGATAATGTCTAAAATATAGGTAATCTGACTTTAAAACTTAAAAGTTAGTACATTGTGGCTTGTACCTATAGTCCTATCTACTTGGAAGTAGTCAGGATGTTCACTTGATTCCAAAAGTTTGAAACAAGCCTGGAAACAATTAAAACATCACTTTTCAAAAAATTACAATTAAATTAAAAGCTAAAATTTAAGTAATACATATCATTCATAAAACATTTTTAAAATAATAACCAGATTAAGTTGCTTGAAATGTCACTCATGAAACAAAATTTTCTTAAGAATTTCAATAACCAATTTTATACTTTCTAATAATAATTTTGGTAGAATTTCCTGTCATAATTAATTTTTTTTGTACCGGTGCTGAGTTCAGAATTGTATTGTTTCTTAGAGAGGTTTTTTTTGTGTGTTTTTTTTCCCCCTGATCAAGCTAACTCTTTATCATTTGAGCCACAGCTCCTCTTCTGGCTCTTTTCTGGTTAACTAAGATTCAAGTCTTACAGACTTTCCTGCCCAGACCGGTCTCAACCCATGACCCTTAGAACGCATCCTACTGAGTAGCTAGGATTATAACCATGAGCCACTGGCCTGGCTAAAATTACTTTAAAATGTATTGTTATTTTTTACTCTCTAAAATATTTTTCAAATTTGTGAAATTTTTATTTTTATTAAATCAGCTTAGAAGTTGAAATTTGACATAGTAAAATATTGAATAATTTCCTATAACAGATCTGAGTATACTGGTATGATTTTAGTATAACTCTTTCAGCTTGAAGATTCTTGTGTTAGTCTAATTATTAATTACATCCAAGTTGATTGAAAAAAATATTTCAAAAATCTCTAAAAATGTAGTTTTGGGGTTAGGCCTATAATTAAATGTTAGAGTGTGTGCTTAGAATGTACAAAGTTCTAGGTACAATCCTCAATACCAAAAATAAATAAATAAAATGTAAGCATTTGTAACATACAGAAATCTATTGTCTAGAGTCTTCGAGAAAACAAGTTCAGTGATGTATGAGTATATATTCTCTTTAGTCCAAAATAAAATTTTGGAGACCTACATGGGTCTGTGCTGATGTAATTAGCAAGAAAGATTTAAAATTTTTATGTCTTACATTCTTTCAAGAACAAATGTGTTATATTTCTATTCATATGAAAAATTAATGCTACGCTTCTAAGAAGTTTAAAATGTCCAAAATTCAACAATGGTTGAATTTTTATTGTGTTTGACCAAATATAGTAAATAAATACGTAAATGTAAGTAAAATTCAAAAACAAAATTTAAAATTGTATTTCCATTACACACCTCAGTTGGTGTGGAAAAGCTCTTTGTCCATCCTACATTTATCATAGTTATATTTAAATCATTATATGATCTTCTGAGTGTTTCCCTGCTCTTAATTTTGTAAAAATATGTCCCCCCCAAAGCAAACACTGCCCCAAAAGTAAGGCAAAGTAAATGTACTTAATTTTAAGTGATAAAGTGAAAATTTTAGGTTTGTTTAAAGGTACTTATCTGTAGGAGAAGTCAGGTTATGAGAAGAATAGATCAAACTGCAGTGCAACACTAAATGCTCTCCATCCTGAGCATTTTTGGTTTGTCTTCAATGGCAGGCAGTCTACTTGGAACCATATATCCCCAGATTTCAAGGTGTATGGTGTTAGAATTTCCAAAGGCTATCATAAAATATTACCAATTTAAAGAGATTGCCAATCAAGAGAAGTAGACAGATATCTTAAATATTATATTTTAACATCATGAAATATGTTGTTTCATAATTACTTTTTTGTGATACAGGGCCTCATATTTGCAGACATTCTTGCTAGTGAGCCATACCTCCAACCATAGTTTTTGTTCCTGATTTTTTAGATAAAGTGTTACTTCCCGCCTAGGTATTTACAATCCACTATGTTAGGCTTCTCTTGTTGCTAAGATAACAGATGTATGCACAGGCCAGCTTTCTATTGAAAAGTCTCTATAACTCTTTTTCTGCGTGAGCTGGTTGTGAGTTGGCTATGAGCTTCAATCCTAACAATTTTAACTTCTCAAGCACTAGGATAAGCAACATGAACCAGTGATGCTAAGCCTCATTAGTTTGCTATACTCTTTCAGCCTCATAGTTTATTAATTTAAGGATTTCATTTTGTTTGGTTGGTACTGAGGTTTGAACATGTTTTCATCCTTGCTAGGTAAGTGCTCTGTCATTTGGGCCACACCCATAGTCCAAGCCTGAAAATCTTTTTTTTAAAAATTGTGAAAATACTGTACAGAAGGGTTACAATTACATGGGCAAGATACTGAGTACATTTCTTATCAAGCATTGTAGCCTCCTCCTTTGTTTCCCCTTTCCATCCCATCCTCCTTCCCCACCCAACCCTCTTCCCCCCACCCCACCAAAGTTGTAAAGTTCGTTTTTGACATAATAACTTGTACATCTCATTGTTGCAATGGGTCCACCTGTATCCTATTTAAACTATTTGTTTTTTTTCCCTTCCCCTCCACAAATTATAACAACATCAAATACAATGAAAGCAGGGGTTATACCATGGGGAAGGGACATACAAAGCAACAAAGAAATAATCTTATAAATGTGTTAGAAACAATCACATGAAAGAAAAAAAACATTTGAATATATATCTTAGGGTTCATTTCCCTAACATCAACTTATCTGACCTTTTCTGCTTGACTCAGACATATACTAGTTATTGCAAATAAGAGAAACCATGGGACCTATGTTTCTTTGGGCCTGGTTACTTCACTTAATATAATTTTTTCCAAGTCTTTCCATTTCCTAACAAATGGGGCAATGTCATTCTTTCTGATGGAGGCATAGAATTCCATTGTGTATCTATATCACATTTTCTTGTTCCATTCATCTACTGAGGGGCATCTGGGTTGGTTCTATATCTTAGCTATGGTAAATAAGGCTGCAATAAACATAGTCGTGCTGGTAGCTTTAGTGTGGTCTTGTTTGTGAACATTTGGGTAAATGCCCAAAAGTGGGATTCAAGCCTGAAATTCTTGAAAGTAATAAAAATGTAAGACAGTATCATATACCATTAATTTAACTTACCTTTTAATATTATTTTTATAGAACCAATCACTGAAAAAGCTTCACCTAAACATCCAGAGGAATATTTTTATAATAACAGCTATCATCCCTTTAAAGATGTACAGACTTCACAGTATTTGAACCCATTTGATGAGCCAGAAACTTTTGTAACTATAAAGGATTCTCCTCCCCAGTCTACAAAAAGAAAAAATATAAGACCCGTGGACATGAGCAAGTACCTGTATGCTGATAACTCTAAAACTGAAGAAGAGTTGGATGAGTGAGTACATTTTATTTTGGTACCAGCACAGATTATTCTGTATACTAAGTAAAGAGATCCTTCTGTAATATAGATGGGGAAAAATGTTTTAAAGTTTATCTTGTACTATCTAACTCATTTCCTATCTGATTTTTAGTCTAAACCTTTTTTCTCTATCCTCTTCCATGTGAGTGTATATTTACCCTAAGCTTACAGATAAGGGAGATTGTTCATCTACTCTCTGGTTGGAATTCCAATTGTGTCTTCCTATAGAAATTATGCTGTAAATCACATTTAGTTGTTTTTAATCAAATGCTGTGGGACACTGTAGTTTATACTATAATTCTGATGTTGACTTACTGAGAATTGCTCAAATCCAGATAATAAGACCATAACATTAATAAATGAGTGTTTTTCACAGTTCAATATGAATAGATAGTGTTATTTGAGCTACTATTTTGCTCAAATCTAGGGTGGAGATATACAGGGATACGTTCACATTGGGTTTTTTTGTTTTTTTTTTTTTGTCGGTCGTGGGGCTTGAACTCTGGGCTTGGGAGCTGTCCCTGTGCTTTGCAGCTCAATGCAAGTGCTCTTACTGCTTGAGCCACAGGACCACTTCCACATTCACATTGTAATCAAGAGTTATATAGTGTCTATAGATCATGTCTTTGTTTCTAAAAGGCAAAATAAAAAATCAGTATGGGTCTTAGAGTTTATTTCGCTTAGCATCATCTTATATGGTCATATGTAAATAGCTATTCTTGCTAGAAATATCCTAGACATATACTAATTATTACAAACGAAGGAAACCAAACAAGACATGGACATAAGAGGTTTTTCTTTGTTGTTTTTGTTTTAATGTACTATGTGATTTCTTGTGGTTTTTTTTTTGTTTGTGTGTTTTTCCCCCTGTATGGTTTATCCCTTGTCACTGGATTTGATTTTGGTACCCTGAGTATAGTATATGTTTCTCTGAATTAGGGAAGGGAAGGGGAACAACAAAATGGTGAGACAAAGGACAAAAGGATGAGCAATGCAACAGCAGTACTCACAAGACAATATGTTGGAAGTTATCTATACCACTGATGGGGAGAACTTTTTTGGGGGGGGAGTAGGAGAAAAACGTGGGAGGGTGAAACAAGTTTGACCAGAAATGTACTCATTATCTTACTTATGTAACCGTAAGCCCTCTGTATATCACCTTGACAATAAAAAAAAAAGGTGACATTGATCAAGATGCATTGTATTCATAAACTGCTTTGGTGAATGGCAGCTCCTTTGTACAACTACTTAAAGATAATAAAAAAAATATACAAAAAAATCACTATGAGGTACCAAAAAACCTAAAAATAGAACTTCCTGTGGTCCAGGCATTCACCAAAAGGAATATAAGTCAGGATATAATGAGGTATTTTATTGTTGTTTTGGTAGTGGACCTTGAACTCAGGTCCTGGGTGCTGTATCTGAGCTCTTTTGCTCAAGGCTAGCACTCTACCACTTTGAGCCACAGTTCCACTTCTGGTTTTCTGATGGTTAATTGGAGATAAGAGTCTTGCTAGACTTTCTTGTCTGGGTGCCTTTGAACCAAAATCCTTGGATTTTAGCTAGGATTACAGGCATGAGCTACCAGCACCCAGCAACAGAGGGTGTCTGATATCCACGTTTATTGCAGTACTATTAAAAATAGTTAAGCTGTGGGAACAGCCCAGCCCAGATGCCCTTGAGTTGATCAAGAAAACATGATATACACTAGCACAAAATGGAATATTGTTCAGCCATAAAGGGAGTATTATTGCCTTAGTAGATCCAAATTGAGCCTAATCTAAAGGCTATTCTATACCTGCCTTATGGCAAGGTCCAAATGAATCAAAGTAATTTTAAGTAATTTAACTACATCCCACACAAAGCCCAAAAATACTTAAGGAATATAAAAATCAAACTAGAATTCAAAAGTTAAAATTTGCAGTCATAAACCATCAGACTTATCAGGTATGTAAAGAAGCAAGAAAATCCTGATTGCCATGATAAGAGAACTTAATCATTAGATAAAGACACAGAAATGAGATAGTTAATGGAACTAATAAACAAACAGTAAAATAACTGCTATATATTCCAGATTTTCAGAAAAGTGAAGGAAATGATGAATATGGATAGTGTAAAAAAATCCAAACTGAATTTATAAGAGATGAGAAATTCAAAGTCTTGAGATGAAAAATATACTGGAAAGGACTATATCATATTTAAAAATGTCAGTGAAACTAACACAGCAGAAACCTTCTAGATTGAAACATAAGAAAAAGAAAATGAATAGAGGATTGGTGAGCTTTGGGACAACTTCAAGTGGCCTAATGTTGTATAATTGGAGTTCTAAAAGGAAGACGATGAAGGAAATAGAAAAAATATTTGAAGAGTTAAAATTTTAGAAGTTGAAAAAAATATATAAACCGAGTTCTCAAGATGGCGACGGGGCAGTAGGGAAACGCCACAGCTCTCTCCAACCAAAAAGAGAGTTCGAGTTCCAACCTTTAATCTCCCCAAGAGACCGACAACAACAAAAAGACGAACACTCAGAGAAAAACCAGAGGTGGAAAATAACAAAAAAAGAAAGAGAGGAAAAGAAGAATTTCAGAACAGAGAAGAGCGAAGACCCCTCCCCCAACCTTTACTGGCCGCGCGGCAGTGCGCCAAGCCGCCGGCCAGCCGGCCCGGCGGGGGCTGCCGGAGCCACAGAGACACAGGGGGCTGCTTGCAGATCACCAGGTACCGGATTGCAGAACAGCGGATCGCCAGGAACAGAGAAACCTACCAGCCGGGAGTCTCCAGGAGGATCCCACCCCACCCATCACTCTCCACCGGAGCGGAGAGGCTCCATCCCGCCAAAGCCGCCTGGCACCAGCAGCGCCACAAAGGGACCTGTCGCGATCGCAACGACCCGGCGGGGGGCCGCCCAACCCAGCCCGCAACCACCCCAACTGAACTCGGACTGCAACAACAACTGACGGACTGCAACAACAACTGACGACCTACAGGGTGAGTACCCATCAGGGGACAGGGAATCCATCAAGGGAGACCAGAGCTGGAGGGAATCCCCAGACCCTGACCTAGACTCCCTACCCCAACACCCGGACCACAGGACCCACTAAAACTGGGAACTGTTCGAGAGCCCCACCAGCCGGTGGAGCACACTCTGCTGGCCAGGCCAGAGCAAGAGCGCCCCGGGAAGGGAGCTTAAATGCTCAAGCCAGGAACAGTGCCCCTGGGTCAAGACTACCAACAGTAGAAGAAATTTGAACTGTGTCCTCCAGGCTGCATAACCAAGGTGGTATACACATTAGCACAGGCCTAACGAGCGCGCTCCAGGCTGGGGCCGGAACCAGGCCAGGGGACCGGCGCCTGAACAAAGCAAAAAGGGTCAGAAGTGGGGCTGTGGCTCAAATGGTAGGGTGCCAGCCCTGAGCTGAAGAGCTGAGGGACAGCACCCAAACCTAGAGTTCAAGCCCACAACCAGCCCAAAACAAACAAAAACACATCAGGAGCCCATAGCAGACTCCAGTATTTGGGAGAGTGCATCCAGAGCATCTGATCTTCCCAAGAGCACCCGCAGGAGCAAACACAAGCAGTCTAGGCTGCTCAACCCTTCCAAAGGCGGGAATTGCTACAGCAGAGAGCTGAGAATCCTAAGTGAATAGCAGCTGGAAATAGGCTCCCAACAGAATCCAGATCAGACACAGACTCTCTCTACCAATAGAGAATCAGCAACCAAGCAAAGACAGACACACCAAAACAAGATTGAAGAGCAGTCTCCTGAACCCCCATGCGAAAATCACAGAGAAAAATCACAAGGTTTACCACTACCCAGGACAGCAAGCTCACCTCAAAAGCCAGCAGCCACGCAGGGGAGAGCCCCAGTGGGAGCAAAGCAGGAATGGAAGACAAAAGCTACATCCAAGGGTTGCTGGAGGCAATGACTCAAGAAATAAAGCGAGAAATGGATCAGAAATTGAAAGAGCACAAGGATGAACTATCAAAAGATATACAGGATATCAAACAAAAATTGGATGCAAAAATAGAAGCTGCACAAACCTCAGTAAGAAGTGAGATAAACGCCAAATTAGAGGTAATGCATACTGATATCACCTCATTGAGAGGTGAGATCAGTACTCTGAGAACCAACATTGAATCCATAAAGGGATCCATTTCCATCATGCAAACCACAATAGAAGCCACGGTCAACAGAGTGAATGAAATGGAAGGTAGAGTGTCAGATACAGAAGACAGAATACACCAACTGGACCAAAAAGTGACAGATATGGAAAAATCACTCAAATTAAACCAAAGGGAAATTCAAGAGCAAGCAGATAATGCTAAAAAATTTAACCTTCGCATAATCGGAGTGGACGAAGGTGAGGAATTCCAGAGCAAGGGAATGCAACACCTATTTAACAAGATAGTCAATGAAAATTTTCCCCACCTCAAAAACGACCATCTTAACTACATCACAAAAGCTTATCGAACACCCAACAAGCAAGATCCCAGGAGAAACACTTCTAGGCACATAATAGTAACAATGATGGATCTGAATAATAAGGAAACAATCCTGCATGCAGCAAAAATGAAGAAGGAGCTATACTACAACGGGAAAAAAATTAGAATCACTGCAGATCTCTCCACACAAACAATGAATGCAAGAAAAGCCTGGGAAAGCACCATACGAGCCCTGAGAGCCAATAACTGCCAACCCAGACTGATATACCCGGCAAAGCTAGCATTCACATTCGATGGAGAACTGAAAACTTTTAATAGCAAAGAAAAACTAAATGAATACATAAACATTAAGCCAGCATTACAAAGAATTCTAAGAGGGGGGACACAACCTGAAGAAAGCAACCAGGAACTGGGACCTGCCCCAAACAGGCATTACTCAAAGTCTAACTGAGCAAGCACAGGAGGAAAGGAAAGAAGAAAAACTTAGGAAAACGGAATGGCAGGGACAACAATGCATCTCTCTATACTTTCTC